AGAAGGAAGAAGGGAGGGGGGTGGGATCTCAGTGTGTGCCACACCTTTTGGGGGCAAGACATGATTGTAAGAGGGACTTTACCTAACAAATGCAATCAGGGAAAAAAAAAAAAATAAAAAAAAAATATATATATATGAAAAATGCATCTTAGCAATGGATCCTACCACTGCTGCAAATCTAAGAGAGATTTCTACTCTGTGCAATATGGTGCTAATTTTCCTATAATAATCTCTGATTTGTAATACTATGTTATAATATTTAAAAGATTGGTAGATTTTAGAAGTTCATGTGGGTATTTAAAGAAGCAACGTGCTATGTACTGAATGTTTGGGTCTTCTCAAAATTCATATGGTGAAATCTATCCCCAATATGATGGCATTTGGAGATGGGGCTTTGGGGAGGTAAATAAATCATAGAGATAGAGCCCTCATCAATGGTATTAGTGCCCTTGGAAGAAAAGAGAAAACATACTTTCTCTGCCACATGAGGATACGGCAAGGAGGTATCTGTCTGCAGACCAGGAAGAGGCCCTCACCATGACCCACATGGGCTAGTGTCTTGATCTTGGACTTACCAGCCTTCAGAATTGTGAGGAATAAATTTCTTTTGTTTAAGCCACCAGGTCTATGGTATTCTTGTAGCCATCCAAATTGACTAAGATGCAAAATAAATGAAGATTTAATTTTCTTTCAATTTTAGGTCTTTAATATGGTAAAACTTAACAAGACTTTGGCTAATCATGGCATTTATTCTTTATAGTTGTTAAGGCTGCAGAATGAAAGAGCAAACTTGCAAACTCAGTTACACGACTATGAAGATCGAATTAAGGCTATGGCATCTCACTTCAAAAATGTTAATCAAGAGTTCTCATTTACACAGGTATAGTAATATTGAAATTTATATTGATCACGTCATCCATAGTCATGGAACATTTCATGGTGCTCTGTGATTTTGACAGCTGTAACGGAAACTTCAATGTAATTAAACTATTGTGAACATAATCTTGAACCTGAAAGTAGGTAGAAAAGAAAGCTTTGAGAAACTAACTATAGCCATTAATTTCAAACAAAAGTTAATTCAAATGAAAGGGGAAATCATCACTCAAACAATCTTCTATAACGGTAGGCAGCAGATTATTTGAGAAGGGTACAGTGATGGCAGTGAGAAATGATGGCTATAAGCAGAAACAGAGCTAATTTAATATGTGACAAAATTTCCATCTCCTTTTAAATTTTTCAGCATGACCCACTGGAGCCATATCAAATGTAGACTAATAGTCCACACGCGTGATATTTCAGGATAGTTCAGGAATTGAAATTTATAATAATCATCTTGAGATTAAAATGTTAAATTACATTTAAGACAAATGGGGGAAAGTCTACATTTTAGAAATATTAACACAAATATAATGAAAATTAAAACTCGGAGTGATTTTATAAGCTTCTGTTTTATAAATAATATTCAAGCATAGAAGGCCTCTGCCAGACAGGTTGTCAAATCAGCTTTGGAGAGTTTACGAACTGCTATCGCAATTATTTTTTAAAAATGCATCAACCTTTCTAAGAGAAAGTATGTAATTTTTAAAATAAGCAGAGCCATGTCTTTAAAAGCAATTTATAATCACTATAAGTTAATATTTCATGGCTTACACATCTTATTTGAAAATTACAAATTTAATGAACTTTTAAAAACAGTGCTCAGGCTTTGTGAATCCAGGTATGATTAATTGACAGACTATTTGAGGCAACACTTTTCCTCAAGTTATTAAACTACTGAGTTGGAGATTTGGGGGACAGAGATTCTCTGTAGTTAAATCTTATTGCCATTCAACCTGGGTTAAATAGAATAGAATAAAAGACAATAAGCCTCCGATAGCACTTGTAGCTTTAATACTGTAAAATTAATAACTATGAAGCACTATAAGATCAGTATTTGAGACTCTTTTGTTAAATAAAAATTAACACAAAGGCATGATTGTATACTAATATATTCTAGGGCATATTTATAACCATCAGAGTTTAAATAATTTAAAAAAATTATGTCTGTAAATTAGAGTATGTGATCAATTCATATAAACATCTCATTTCTCAATTATTTTTTCACCCAATTGAGGTATAGCCTTAAAGTCTCCACTATATTAACTTTGGTAATAAGGGTGTATTGTTAAATTAGTTTTCTTAGATTAACATAATGTCTGAAAATTGCTGGTAATCTTTTCTCCTGCCACACTTCACTGACTAACTGCCCTATAATTACAGTCTCATGCATGTAGATTTCAGAGTACTTAATAGAAATTAATCTAAGTGTTTTGTGGCAACTTTGGGGTTTGGGGTATAATGGATTATTATAAATATTTTAAAATGTTAAAGTTTAACAAGTCTTTCTATCTCGTATATTATCCTGTAGTCTCTTTACAACGCAAGGGAGCAAGAGATTAAAAGTGAAGAACATTTCAAAGCTATTGCTCAAAGGGAATTGGGACGAGTGAAAACTGAAATCCAGCGCCTCGAGAATGAGATGACCTCTATCCAGGAAAAGAAAAATGATAAAGAAGTACGTGTTGAAACATGACTTAAAATTCTGTGCCTCTGCCCCTTCTCCCCTCACCAAATGAGCCCTGACTTTCTTTCTGTGTAGGAAAAGCATTCATGAGTTGCCTCGTATTTACTTACATTGTTTTTTTGAATAATGAAGGAACACAGAGTTGTGATTTGAGCGAAACAGTACTAGAATATTACATTTTTCCCTCTCACTGAGACTTAGTGAGTGCAAAGCGCAGTGCTGGCTACCTGTTACAAAATATTAGGCATGATTTATATGCAAGTGTTACATTTTTAACAACCACATTAAACAAATCCCTTTTAATTTTAAATTTTATTAAAAATGTTTCCTTTTTATGTTAATGAGCCAGCTTTGTGACTCTAACATTAAACTACTTTAACCTATTTTTCTCTTTTCTTTAGTTTTTGGTTTTAACTTGATTTGGGTGCTCTTTCTAAATTCTCGTTGTATACAGAGGACGCCAAAAAAAGTACACATATTTTAAGAGAAAAAGCTATCCTGTCACACGGTGACAGCAGCATTCATTCGATTAATAGCATCTTTTGAGCAATTTCATACTAAAAACGTTGTTACTCTAATTCAATTCCATTTCAAAAAGTAATACACAGACCATATCTCTTAAAAATGTGTATACTTTTTTTGGCACCTCATATACATATGTATACTTCTTCTTTTTATAAATACATAACACACACATACATATATATACACTATCATATAGACATAATCTATTCTAATTTTGTAATGTAATTTATATAATAATAATTGCATATTTATTATTTATATTTATTTATCTGTCATTCTCTTTTTTCTCTTATGAATCTAGATTTGTTAAATGACCAAATTTAAGGAAATATTTTTATCTCTTTTACTGTATTTACTTTAATTACGAGTGCTTCTAAAATTTCTATGTAAGAGACCTCTTAGGAGCAGCAATATGATTGGAACTAGGACTGACAGGAGTTTGTCTTGGGTTTGCGTTAGCATATCAAGCATATTATTTTAACTAAGATTCCATATATATTTAGGGTGACTTTGGTGAAAGAACTAATGTATTTGCTTATAAGGGAGCTATCCTAAAGCCTACAGCCTTTTTAAGTGACCTTTAGCTCAACTGCTGTTCTTGACTTTAATTAACATAATCATCCTTCCTCTATTTTACAACTAAAGAATTAAAATACAAGTTTGAAGACTGGACACTGTGGTTTACGCCTGTAATCCTAGCACCCTGGAAGGCCAAGACGGGTGGATTGCTTGAGCTCAAGAGTTTGAGACCAGCCCAAGCAAGAGCGAGACCCTGTCTCTAAAAATAGCCGGGTGTTCTGGCAGGTACCTGTAGTCCTAGCTACCCAGAAGAGTGAGGCAGGAGGATTGCTTGAGCCCAAGAGCTTGAGGTTGCTGTGAGCTATGACACCCTGGCACTCTACCCAGGGTGACAGAGTGAGATTCTGTCTTTAAAAAAAATACAAGTATGATAGTTACATAATCAGAGTGCATTATAAACATCTAAAAGGCAGAAGTAGGATTTAATATGTTCTGTCATATATAATGTTTTATTTTATTTTGGTTTGTTATAATAAATAATGTTTTACAATCTCCCTTTCCCCCTTTTCTTTGGAAATTAGAATGGAATATTTAAAGCTACTCAGAAAATGGATGGTTTGAAATGTCAAATGAACTGGGACCAGCAAGCATTGGAGGCTTGGTTAGAAGAATCAGCTCATAAAGACAGTGATGCCCTCACTCTTCAGAAGTATGCAAAACAAGATGATAATAAAATTAGGGTGAGAAATTAAAAACTATTTTTAGGTTTTCTCTGTAGTTTGCCAACTTATTTACCTAAAATTGTACCTGTGATTTTTAAACAGAAATGTTTAAACATTTTTGAGTTAATGACTTGTTGAGGATTTAATAAAGCTGAGTATCCTCTCTGTAAAAAAGTGACTTGTGGGCAGCGCTGTGGCTCAAAGGAGTAGGGCACTGGCCCCATATGCCGGAGGTGGTGGGTTTAAACCCAGCCCTTGCCAAAAACTGTGAAAAAAAGAAAAGCGACTTGTACTAAAATACCTGTAAGGTTTTGCTGACTATTTCACAGGTCTTCTGAAGTTCTTGGACCTTTTAGTGATCCATGGACCCCAGGTTAAGAATGCCCTGATTCTCGAAAGCATTTCAGAAAAGAAAGCTTTGTATCAGGATTATGTATATTTATTTGAGCTATTTCATCTAGAATATACTTTGAATATTATGTATAGTTTTGCTGATTTAAGATCATAGTGCTATTGATGATAATTATGGAAACTGTCACTTAAAATCCACTTAAAATTATATCTGGTGATACTAACAAGGTTAGGATTATAAAACATGCTATTTTCTAGTAGATTTAATACAAAATGCATTATTTTAAACAATTTCAAATGGCAAATTATAATGTAACCTTTTTTCTAACTTACCTTGAAAAATATTTAAAAGTCATTTTAGAAAAAATTGAGTTTTCATATGGATATATACAAACACATTAGATTAGCTCCTTGGGATTAAAAGATAGGGTAGGATGTTTTAGATGTCAACTAGATGTGTGTGTAAAGTAATAATCTTTAATGTTAGCTATACTAATGCCTTTAAATGAGTAAAATGATACTTATAAACATTTTCGTATGTTTCATATGTAACGACATCATAGGTGCTGACTCTGCAGTTAGAAAGACTAACTGTGGAATGTCATCAGAGAAGAAAGTTACTTGACAAAGAACTTACAGAGACTTTAAGTGCACAGGTTAGTTTAATGAAGGTTTGTATTTCTTAATTTTGAAGGTGATGTTTGCCAAAGCATTTAAATTCACATAAATGTGTTTGCTCTCACTTTGACAGTTAGAATTGGATAAAGCAGCACAAGATTTTCGCAAGATTCATACTGAAAGGCAAGAACTGATTCAGCAGTGGGAGAATACGATAGAGCAGATGCAGAAGAGAGATCACGACATAGACAGCTGTGCTTTGGTGAAGGAGATGTTTGGTCTTTGTAATATTCCCCTGTATTTTCCTCTTTTGTATTTAACTCATTATTTCAAATGTAAATCACATCGTTATTTGAAAATCCCATTTGTAGCAGAATTCAATAGTTTTGGTAAATGTTTTACAAAACTGACTCTATATCCATCTAGAAATGTGATTTTATAAAGATTATTGCTTATAGCAGTACCTGTATACTCCCCAAAGACTATCTTGTCACTTGTGAATTGTGGAACAAGAGAAAGTCAACAGATATATTTGCGATCCAAGTAATTCTGACTTACACATGGTGTCCAAAGTGCCTTGGATTTAATATGTTTGGTGTTTGGCAATAAGTTACCAATGTAGGGAAATCAGTCTCTGTGGATAACACTAAAACAAGAGAAGAGAGTCACAAAGATACAGAGACTGCGAACGTTTGAAGCTGGGGCACCAGTAGTGACATAGAAGCTTGGAAGAGGGGGATAGTGCCCTGATAACACAGACCTATGTTATCTCTTGTTACTTTCAGAGGCAATTTAGGAGAATGTATTTGAAATGTTTCTGAGTGTACTCCAGGGAAAGGCATTTGGGAAGCACCTAAAGCCTCTGGGAGTTTGGAATTCAGATATCTAGATATGGTTTACTTGTGATTCTTTTCTTTCTTTCTTTTTTTTTTTTTTGAGGCAGAGCCTTAAGCTGTCACTCTGGGTAGAGTGCTGTGGCGTCATAGCTCACAGCAACCTCTAACTCCTGGGCTCAAGTGATTCTCTTGCCTCAGCCTCCCAAGTAGCTATGACTACAAGGTGCCTGCCACAGTGCCCAGCTATTTTTTGGTTGTAGTTGTCATTGTTGTTTGGCAGGCCCAGGCTGGATTCCAACCCTCCAGCTCTGGTGTATGTGGCTGGCGCCTTAGCCACTTGAGCTACAGGCACCAAGTCTACTTATGATTCTTTAATTTAACTTTCTGTAAGAACTCAACGTTTTATCCTAAAGTGAGTTATGACTCCCTACGAGGAATAAGGGAGCAGTCTTAACTAGGAGATCCTCTTAATGCCCTCCTT